AGGTTTAAAACAAGGGGATCCGCTATCAACGAATTTATTTAACCTAGTATTAGAACAAATCGTCTTCTTAGCCTTCTATCGTTCATGTTTGGACATAGGCCTCTCACAACTGCTTCCATCGGTCTCTACCCTGAGCAGCATATTTCCAATTTGTTCCGGCTCCTTCTTTTAATGTCATCAACCCATCTCATCTGTAGTCCTCCTCTTGGTCGTTTACTTTCGTAAGGTCTCCAATGTTGTATTGTAGTATTCTAACGTTGGTCTTTTTGTCAAGCAGTGTGGCCCGCGAAGCTAAATTTAAGTTTGGTAATTTTTGTTGTTATGTCATCGACTTTTGTTTTGATCTTACCCAGTCGTTCCTCTTTTTATCTGACAGTCGTATACTTAACATTGCTCTTTCCGTTGTTCTTTCTGTTGTGGCTAGTTTATTCATGTTTGCCTTGGTTAGGGTCCAGGTTTGACATCCATATGTCATGATAGAAATAATGCATTGGTTGAACACTTTGCTCCTGTCTTTGTCTTTGTACTTTGTCTTTGTCAAGTTTCAGGATTTGGTCTAGGTAGATATATTTCTAGACTTGTTCTATCTCACTGCCATTTATAGTTATTTTTTGTTTTTTTCATATCCATTTTGGGGCCGACGTTTTGGTAGCTGCCTGCTAGTTCCCCATCATAATTAGAACAAATCGTAAGGAGATCAAATATAAGCGCAAACGGGACTATTTTCAATAATAGGGAACAGTTCATAGCGTACGCGGAAGATATCATGATCCTAGCGAGAACAAAAAACATTTAGAAAAAGTTTTCCAGAAATTTGAAGAATTAACGAAAAAATTTGGATTAATAATAAACCAAACAAAAACGCAATATATGGAAATTCGAGGAGGACATAGTTTTGAAAACTCAAAAAAAGAAGAAAAAGATAGACAAGATTAATGAAGGGAAGCAGAGCGATGGGGTCACTAAATTGAGTACTGAAAGCAAAAAATGTATCAAGAACCGCTAACCTGCAAGGCTACGAGATAGTAATCAGACCCATAGTGATGTACAGGGTGAGCCATAACTATTGGGACATAGACTAAGGACAGGTTATTTGGACCAAAATATGGCTATTGGGCCAAATATGCCTTAATAAAATGTTGCTGAGAAAAAAGATACAGGGTGTTAAAGTTAATTTTTGTTTTTCGTTTTTTGCTAATAGTTTCCCTGTATATTAATAAATTGCTATCAAAATTGGCACAGAGGCATAATCTTAGATAAGAAATAGTATTTTATTTACAATTCCACTATCAAATACCAAACTAATAAACAAAGTTGCAACTAACGTAAGGTTTCCGTTTTGACGATAAATCAAAACTAAACACACTTTCAAAAACTACAAACTAAAATGTTCTACATGATCTCCTCCGATTTCTATGCCTTTTCTAATTCTTTTTATAAAGGATTTTCGGATGTTAAAAAAATATTATTCTGGCCCCTTAAAAGATTAGCTGCAATTTGAATGTATCTCCAAAGTTCGTCTCGTGTATTAATTTCATTGGCATAAACTAAGGACTTCATATGTCCTCAAAAATAAAAATCTAGCGTGTTGTACTCAGGACTTCTTGGAGGCCATTGAAAATCACTGCCTCTGCTGATCCATCGTTGAGGAAATACGTCATTAAGATGATTTCTAACAGCTAATGAAAAATGAGGTGGCCCTCCATCCTGCATAAATCACATTTTTCTTCTTACATCCAGTGACAGATCATCTAAAATATCACTAAGAGTATTTTCCAAAAAGAATAAATAAGAATCTCCATTTAAATTGGGAGGAAGAAACATAAGGCCCTTGTAGTTGGTCGCCTATAATGCCACACCAAACATTCAATTGAAACTCATGCTGAAAATGCCTAGTTTTAATAGCATGCGGGTTTTCTTCTTCCCAATAATGAGCAATATTTCGCCAATAAAAAAGCCCTCGTATGGTAAAAGTTGCTTCATCGGTGAACATAATTTTCTTAATAAAGTGTCTGTCATTGCGATGTTTATTCAGAATACGTTGGCAAAACTGTAACCGTCGTGGAAGATCTGTTGGAAGTAAATTTTGAACAGGAGTGAAGTGATAAGGATGGAGGTTCTCTTTTTTTAGAATTCTAACAATAGGCGACTGACTTACTCCTGTTGCTGCTGATAGATGTCGTAAACTTATTTTAGGATTTTCGTCTACTCGAACCAAAAGTTCATCTTCTTGATTAGGTGTGATTTGTTTCGGCCAACTACCGATGATTTTTAGTGTGAAATGACCCAGTTTCACCTAAACTACGATATAATCTTGCAAAAGTTTTGTAATTTGGTTCCTTCTGTTTGCGTATAACATTCCATACCTTCTGGCTGCCGAGCGACCGCAAAAATTTTCTTGTCCGTATACGCAAATCATAACTCGCATTTCTTCATTAGTAAAATGATTGTGACGTGGCATTTCAATCAAAAAAAGTAATGATTACTTTTAAAAATGCAACATTACACTACATTGTCACATCAAAAATAATTTACTCTGAACAAATGACATTTACCAACAACAATTATCTGACAGTCCAAAGGTTACTTTTTATAAATGAAATAATATTTGAAATCCTCTTTTAAGACTCTAAGCAGTACGACTGCGTTTTTATCGAAAACGGTTGAAATTATCATATTTAAACAAGAGTACCAATTTTACGTAAAAATGATGTTTACGTCATATTTTCTAATAAAAATTACTAAAAAGTTTCATCAGAAAAAGTTTAGACTCAATTTGATCATTAGGAATGATCCACGTGGCGCCCTCTATGACAAAACGTAAAATTGTAAATAAAATACTATTTCTTGTCTAAGATTATGGCTCTATGCCAATTTTGATAGCAATTTATAAATATACAGGGAAACTATTAGCAAAAAACGAAAAACAAAAATTAACTTTAACACCCTGTATCTTTTTTCTCAGCAACATTTTATTAAGGCATATTTGGCCCAATAGCCATATTTTGGTCCAAATAACCTGTCCTTAGTCTATGTCCCAATAGTTATGACTCACCCTGTATACAGTGAAACGTGGATTATGAACCAGCAGGAAGAAAAGAAAGTAGAGATCTGGGAACAAAAGGTGCTCAGAAAAATCTTCGGAGGAATAAAGGCGGCAGAGAATGTTTGGAGAAGACAAACGAATAAAGAAATAATGAAGATGTATAGAAAAAACAGAAATTACGGAAAAAATACGAGTCCAAAGAGCTAGATGGCTTAGTCACATTATACGAATGCCAGAAAATCGAAATGTTAAAATAATACTGAAGGAGGGAGAACTGGAGAAACAAAGAAGAGGACGTTCAAAGAAGAATTGGTTAGAATCAGTAAAGCAAGACTCGTCAGAAATAGCCGTGAGAGATTCGAGAGAGAAAGTAAGAGACCGAAAAAAATGGAGGGAAATAACCAAGATTTTACTGGGTTATTAACCGAAGCCAGGGGCCTATAAGGCCTGTAGCGATATTATATATATATATATAATATAATATATATATTTAACGTGATTATTTCGACCAAAAAACAATTTATCAGTATGTTGGAAATGTCGGGTATGTGGTCTATATTAAATAAAAATCTTTGTTTTTTCTAAAACTCAATATTTCGCCATTTATTTAACAGCTTCATCAGGAGTAACTGTAAAAAACAAACATTTCAAAAAACTGACGTACACTTAGATTTACAACACTTACAGAAATTGAAAGATTTCACACATAAATAAACTTGACATTAAAATAAACATTTTTGATAATGTAATTGCAAGTTAAAATATAAATATATTTGAGCATGTTCGTTAACAATCAATAAGATGGAAACAACTAAAAGTTATTTAAAATGCAAGAACTAACAATGTAAGAAAACATTAGAGGAATATTATTTCTTTAATTAATCATTAAGGCTAGTTAGTATGATTAATCATTAAAGTGAGTGAGTTTTAAATTTTGTTCAATATATTGCAATATATGTTGCTTAATTGCCCCGTGTCTGTTTTATAATTTAAAGTTTGTTTATTTTTGTTGATGTGGTACATCTCCAAAAATAACCTACTTTTGTAATTTTCAGTCTGTGCCAAAATACGAGCATTGTTATAGTCTAACAGATGACCGGTGTTTTTATAATGCTCGACTACTGCACAACTATTTTTTCCAAGCGGCAATCATTTTTGTGCTGTGTGATACGTTGTTTTAGCCACTGCGATGTATGGCCAATGTAGCTTTTTTCATATCCTAGACACGGTATTTCATATACCACATTACTCCTATATAAGGTTGGTACTGGATCTTTAATTTTGGAAAAAAGTTGTTTGCTATTTATGGTATTGTATTTAGCTATATTAATATTGGAAACATCTTTAAATATGGATATGACTGAATGAGTTAGACCATTGATAAAGGGGAGTTTTTTATATTTGATTGACTCATTGTTGGAATCAAGGACAAGACCATCATAGAAATTACTGCTGTAAATGAGTTTTTTTATAAATATGTTTAGGATAGCCGTTGTTTCGAAAAATGTTGTATAATATGTCCAGATTTTTTCTGTAATAAATTATCGAATGTCCATTGTTAATGATAATCAACCAACATTTTTTTGAAATGTTTGTTTTTTACAGTTACTCCTGATGAAGCTGTTAAATAAATGGCGAAATATAAAGTTTTAGAAAAAACAAAGATTTTTATTTTTTATTTAATATAGACCACATACCCGATATTTCCAACATACTGATATATATATATATATATATATATATATATATAATAAATATATATATAATTATATATAAATATATATATATATATTTATATATATATATATATATATAAATATATATATATATATATAATATATATATATTGTGCGTGTGTATGTGTGTGTGTGTATTATGTGTTTTATCAATATTTAAATACAATACTTCTTATATTTTATTCATTATAAAAGAACTTCAGTCAAAAAGAATTAACTCAAACATTCTTATCGATTAATTGGTCATGATAATATTTCCATAATGTGACTGTTTTCTTAAATTCATTGAAAGTGAGTTTATCATCTTTATTTGCATCTGCTGCAATGAAGAATTCTGCAAACATATCCTGAATTGGATTAGATAAAAGATAAACCATCCTCCTGGGAATCCGAGAATCTATAGGTTTGGAGTCTGTTAGAATGTAACTTCTTGCCAGTTTTTCTAAAAACGGTTCGGATTCATCATGGGATATTTTACCGTCACCGTTCGTGTCCAGTTCATTAAATAAAGCTGAAACAGAATTTATGTCTATATAAAACTCACTATAACAAAAGCGTCAATTAATAATTATCATATATAACTTTACAAGTCCCCTTAAAGTGACGCCGTAGCTGTTTTTATACGCGAACAGATGTTCTGGATATAGCCAGTAAAGTCCATGAACGTCAAGTCAGCACTTTCAACGAGAAATTCCAGGAAAATATCGAAAATAAACATTAAGGTTGATCTGCACCCTCTAAAAGACAACTACATATTCAAAAAAAAAAAAGATATATGTGATAACTAAGTTATAAATGTGATAAGTATTTTGACAAATGTTAAGCAAACTTCATGTTTTCGTTTTCGAAAAAACTCACAAAACTACCTTTTTCCAAGTATAAAGCGGAAAATCTAACATGCAATTTAGTTAATTTTCTTACAGCATCAATGTACAATTCTAAGAAATACCCATGAATTTTTTGAAAATTTTTAAATGTACAGTTTTGCTACAATAGAAAAAAAATAATATGTTCCGGCTTGTAATAAAGTTACCGGTAAGAAACTGGAAAAATTTTTATTAAAAATATCTATATATATATATATATATATATATAATATATAGATGGTTTCTTAGAACCAACCATCTTGTGCTTTGGCAGAGCATGTAATAGACAAAGACCATATTATGGATTTTGATAATATTAAAATTTTATGTAATGAAAGTAATAAATTTAAAAGAACTTTTTTGGAAATGGTTTGTATTAGCAAAAGTGATAATAATTTAAACAAAAGGTCAGAAATTCAAAATTTAAGCAAAATTTATAATTATATTATTTCTATTTAATTTATATATGCAGTCAGTAAAATATCACATTTTGAATTTTCCATGTATTTGTTACATTTTTTCGGGCATCTATCAATGGTGAATAAATCTTCTTCTTTTTTGTTACTAAACAAAGAAGAAATTTTTTTAAACAAAATTTTGTTTTTGACAATATGTCAAAAATAAAATTTTTTAAGTTAGTATTTATGACATTTAGGCTGGTTTGTAGCTATTTTATTTTTGTTTACAAATTCAATTGTTTTTGTTAAGAAACTTCATCAAAATTTTTCAGAGAAACATTTGTTAGAATAAGACATTTTTTTATTAATATTTTTTGCAATTAATATGTAAGCAGTTTTTGTTGTTTGTTTTGTGTTTAAATGACTGCGGACACTAAATCCATTCGCCAATCTTACAATTTGAGGTGTAGTGTGTGTGTGTCTGTGTTTGTGTGTGTGTGGAGTAATTGTCTTGATACTTAGCAAAGTCGACGTCATTGTCTTTGCTAAGAGACGCTAATTGTATCCGAACGTCTGCGGTCCCTCCGGTGTGTACCGATCACACAAGGATAGAAATTATTTTCATTTATTAATTTTTTTTTAATAAACGAAAATTTCCACCCAGGTGGGATTCGAACTCACGACCTTTAGGTTTAAAGGCAGGCGCGCTTTATGTTAGCAGTAGTTTTATATAAAAACTAATTTTATTTGGTGAGTTAACAAAAAATTTTTTATTTCTAGTTCAACTTTGTAAGATATTTTGTATTTTTTAGAAGCTCTTGATAAAAATTGTAATCACAATTGAAAGCTCGAGTAAAAAATAGTCAACAAATAGCCCCTTTTATTGACTCCAACCCATCAAAAACAGTTTTATATTTTTTCCAAACGTGTCACAAGTACTTCTTTTTTCTTACTTATATATATATATATATATATATATATATATATATAATATAAAGGTTGATATATGATATAAGGTTGAATGCTCGAATAAATGAACTTTGATAAAATGAAAGGCAGATATCGAGCACAATTTTATTAATTCAATCTAGCCTAAGTACTTTCGCTTCCTAGAGCATCTTCAGAGGCATTTCGTCAATTTTGGGCTATACAACTAGCGCAGAATGTAATAACATAACATTAAACATAAAATTGTACAAAGACTACAATAAACAAGGACAGTTTTAAATTAGTCGATGTTACATTCTTATCGGCAACAGGAGAGAGAATGAATTTTCCTATCTCTCCTGTTGGCAACAAGAATTGTACCTGGTTAAACAAGAACTATATCTTGAAATGCCGCCATCAAATTGTATTGTAGAGAGATGGTTCCATCTGAAACATCGGTAATATTTATCATCGATAGATAGCATTACCACAGAATAATAAACAATCAGAATGTCCACTCTCAGATGTCGCCTTTAAAGTTTTTCAGCACGCGTGCCATGTATTTAGAAGAAAACACATAACACAGACATATGATTTGTGGGGTTATGTAATTGTTTATATTTATGTTTAATTCTATTATATTTAACAGGGTTACTTGTGCAACACTTAGGCCGATTACAACAAATTTAAGAAGAGTGTTAGAACGCCAGGTAGAATTTTCGATCTATTACAGGACCATAATTACAGTCACATAACAATATTTAGATAGAATATTAAATATCGTAACGTAAGTTATTATTTTATGGTCAATCACTAAAATTATCTTAAAGTTAAAAGATACCCAAAAACCCCTATTTATAATCAAGGACGTATATTTTGTCAATCATTAGTTTAAATTTAAAAATATGCAAAAATATTAATTTTTATTACATAATATATAATCCTAATGTATTAATATTTTTTTAATTTTTAATTCAGTTTTTGAAATCTTTAATGAGTAAAAAATTTCCTCTTCGCACAGGTGCATTACCAAATAAAGATAAGAAAGGAAGGTCATGTCGAGATATTGATATTTGAAAGTATAATTAGATTAAGAATAATAATTATTGAAACTGAAAACTGCTTCTAGGAAACTGTAAAGATTTTAATAAAATAAACACATGTGTAGCTTCAGCAAGTGTACAGCTCGTTTTTAATGGCTCACGCTGCCATACACGGTAGAAGCCTTTATAACTACCGTTAACATCTACAAAGATTGTGAAAAGATTTTCGACGCCGATGCCTTAACAGGTTACCCTTATTGCTCACCGATACCGCAGCAGTAAGGTGGCAAGGCGTCAAAAGTGAGGTAAACACGTGAAAGAGGCTGCCCAGCTAATCAGGAGAGCATTTTCCCCCAGTAAACCTCCTACCAAATCTATGTCGACCTATCTCTGTGAAGCAAGACTCAAACGTCCCGATTGTATGAATTCCTAACCAAAAAGAGGGCACTACTTGCACAGCACCCGTCACAGAGACACGACGAAGAAACACAGATCGACATTATCTATGGGCTCCTATGTAATACATTTACGGAAAGAGATGCCTAGAGATTCTATTCGAACGTTCGCAGAGCTACTAGAACGAAGCAGGCAATGCGAACAGATCCAGAGAGAAGCTGAAGTACCAGTCATACTCGAGGCGACGCAAACCACGAAGGCCGAAAACCTGTCTAAACGCAACAAGCCTGCGCTGCGATTTTGCCACTTCCGCGGGCACACGACAGAGGAATGCAGAAAGCGTCAGAGCAAGACGGCAACCAAGACTAAGGAGGTCACGAGTAATCCAGGTCCAGAGAGAAAAGCGACGAATAAAGAGAACGCACTTGAGCAACCCACTGTATCTTGTTACGGTTGCGGTAAAAGCGGTTATTATAGGAAGTAACTGTCCGAACTGCTCTCACAGAAAAGACGTCACAACTCAATCGATCCATTTCTATGCAGTGAGCGGTTTAAGTAATTTCACCTCTCAAGTACCAACGATACCAATTACTGCCGCTGGAATTACTGGACTAGCTTACATAGACACAGCCGCGAAGAACCTGTGTCGCAGGACAGACACTTTACGATTGTTTGAAGAAGAGCAAAACCTGCGTTTTTAAGAAACAAAAAGCCCAGATAAGTTTAGCAGATGGCCACACTCAGTTAAAGGATATACTCTCGACAACAATTTCGGTGCAAATAATGAGGCCGTACAATCCACACCGATTTTGTAGTCCCTTCCTGACGCCGAAGACAATCGCACGCTACTCGGCATAGACTTTTTGGAAAAAGCGGCGATGGTTCGCAACATCCCGCAGAGATATTGGTTCTTCGCCGACTCTCCAAGCAAAATACATGAGTTCTTAGATTCGAAACAGGGCCGAACTCCAGAAATTATTCACGGAAAGCCAACCGCCGAGATATCGGCACTGGACTCGTCGAATATTCACTTAATTGAACAAGAGAAACCCAGGTCTCCATTCCTGGAGTTTCACGCATCGCCCCTTCCACATGAAGAAGCGGATGAGGTTCCATGGATCCTGCAGCCAATCGACGAGCAGGTCAACATAACCAGAGATTCTGAGAGCTACGATCCGGACGCCATTGAGAGCATATTCAGAGACGCGATGCCACTGTCCTACTCACCTATAAAGAAAGATCCCAGACGCAAACGACCAAAACTAGATATAGACGTCGACGCACTGAGGTCTACCGAAGCTACCGAATTAGATAAGCAGCAAAGAATCGCACTGAAATAATGTGTTGAGAGAGCACCATGATGTATTTGGTGAAACCGGCCCAGCTACGCCCTACGCTCAACATCGAATACAGACACAGGAGCATTTACCGATTGCCAGTGCTCCATACCGACTTAGCCCATCACGCCAAGCTAGTCTGAGAGAGAGGCTGGATGATATGTTGGCTAAGGGGATCATAGAAGAGAGTGATACTGCATGGGTGTCACCTGTAGTACTGGTCCCCAAAGATAACGACGATATAAGGGTATGCGTGGGACTACCGTCGTTTAAACAAGATTACTGTTCCAGATCGCTACCCATTACCGAGAATAGACGATTTACTACACGCTGCCAAGGGATGTGAGTACATGTCAAGTCTCGACCTTCAATCTGGATATTACCAGATCGGCATCCTCGATGAGGACAAAGATAAAACTGGATTCATAACGCCTTTTGGAGTGTAATCGTTTCAACAGAATGCCGTTTGGGCTGATGAATGCAGGAGCTACCTTTCAACGTTTAATGGAATGCTTTAAAGCTACTCGCTAAAAGCTACAGATTT